GGTGGCTACGCGATGCCTCCGTCTGGTCTCCCCCAGCACACGTCGCACCAGTCATGATAGCCAACAACAACAACTCCATGACCAATGCATTTCTCGTTGATACCTGACATCCTCTGCATTCTGGAGACCTCGCTCGTCGGCACCGGACATGGTCGGCATTTTTTTTACTCAAACCCGAGGCTCTGGCGGTTTGGCGTTAAAGTTCGGTGTTACCACTTGCTGGATCTCGTTCCACTACGTTTCTTTTATTTCCCTTGCTCCCGATTTCCCCTTCTTCGATTCCGTCGCCAGTGCGCGGTGGTCTGAAGTCCTTGGCCAATGACCACAGTCGCAGGCTTTGGCATTAAACGAGGATCAAAGACTTCTGCGCACTGCCCTTATTACGGAGCGAGACCTAATGCTATCTTGTGGTGGACACCTGGGAGGATGTGACGAGAACACGGCAACATGGATCACACTCGATGAGAGAGAAGTCATGACGGACGGACAGGCATTGCGCAGGCGGTCTCGTTGAACACAACATTTTTGTGCCGTGGGCCTTTTCTTTCTGATGCTGGCTCCAGACGGGAGGTTGGAAGCGTGGCGCGTTAGTTTGTATGGCGGTGCTAGCCAAGTTTTTCTCTCTTTCGTTTATGCGGGGGAGGATGTTCGCGTGGTCTGCCCTTGAGAAGGGGTAGGGAAGGAGATTCCGGCGCGGGTGGATTAGGTTTTTTCAGCATGAGAGCATGATATCTCACGGCTGGGGCAGGCACATTTTCCTGGAATGGGACTGATGATTTCTGTCGTGGATCATGAGCCAAGACGCGCGCGACCTCCTCTTTTTATTTTCTTGTTATTCTTCCACAAAACCTCCCCTGAGGATTTTCGTAGGACTCGGCTTCGATACCCCGGCCCTGGGCAAATCAACAAAACAACTATACACTCACATACACACACTTTGTCTGTATTCTTGCTCTGTCTCTCTTGAGAGAAAAGACCTTGCCTCTATCGCCCTTCCGCGCCCGAATTGCTTTTGGAGTCAGATGAGATATGCCCAGGGGCACAAGACGAGAGAGACGAGCTGCTTCGGAAAAGGGGAAACGAATCACGATGCGGACAAGGAGGGGAGGACCGGGCCATGGGAGAGGGGTTGGAATCAGTTGAATTGTATGATAGCACTGTACTTCCTTGACCTTTTGCGCGGCTGTTTTTCTGTTACTAGAAAGTCAGGGCCTGACCTGACAAAACTGCTAATCACTTTCACGTCTTCACGATGTTGCCTATTTCCCCTCTCTCTCTCTCTCTACCGTCTACCAAGTATTTTGTCCACAGTGTTTAACCCCCCAGTTTGCGAGTAAACGAGGAAACGGCCCGTGAAACAAGTCGGCGGTATCCTTACAAATCAGCACCGCCAATCATTCGTCGTCTTAGGAACCTTGCCGTTTGCGGAAGGGGAGGTAGGCAGGTAGGTGTGGCGAGCGCTGGTGGTGGTGGTGGCCGTCATGGTGACATGACAAGTGACTGAACTCTAACGGAGTGATGCGAGACACTGTGAGCTTCCTCAAGGGCGGGTTCGCTGCAATTAAGATTTTTTCTTGGGATGATTCTTTGTGTGTAGTGTGGACGTATCTTCTTAAAATCCATGTTGCGTCGATGTCCCTTTGTCATTGTATGGTGTTTTTTTTCTCCCTGGAATTACCGTATTTATCCAAACATCGGGGGTTGGGCCGGACTTACCTCACGGAGAGAATGCAGCATCCACATGCGAACCCGCTCTGAGCGAGTACGGTCGGTATTTGAACAATCGCAGCCAGCGGGCGGGCGGACGGGCTGATGTCGTCGGATTGGGAGGGAAGTAAGCAACATTGCAAGCCACCGGGATTTCCTCAGCAGGCAAGGCGACATCTTTCGCGCCCAATTATTGAAAAGAAGTGATCCTCGCTCGGGCCTGGGCTGATCGGGTCGAATGCAAGGGCAGCTACAACTGAGAAAGTCGAATGCTGCTTTTGGCTGTCTGGCGGATTGTGATTCGGCGGCTGGGAGGCCCGCCCGCCGCGCCGGCCTTGCGCTGCGATCGCTGTCAGTGGTAGGAAGGGTTAGACTCAGCGGTTTGGCTGTGGACCTGACAACCCTGGGGGGGGCCTAATATCAGCGGCTACTATCCGGGGCGCACTGCTGCCCGTGGTGCTGGTGCTGCCGCCAGTGTCTGCAATGCATGTCCGCACGGCGGGCAGCGGGGTAACTGGTAGCGCCTGGGTACGGATGCTTCCAGGTGCCTTTTGGCGGGCTGACTGTCTTTCAGCTGAGGTGGTGGTGATCAATTGTCTTTTTGTGTGTATGGATACGGCTGCTAAATCGACTGCGGCTGCGACGATGACTTGGCGTGGATCGTGTCAAGAAAAATCACATGTGTTTTATCCGAAGCTTCATTTTGCGCTTTCTTTTTTTCTTCTCGCTCGTCGCGTCTCTTTAGCGGGGTAGAAAACGCGTTTCCATTTCGGTGAAGCTGTCGATGGTGGGGAAGGTCCTGCCTGGATTGGGACAGGATGCAGGGACAGCTCGTTGCCTTTTTGGGCCTGGTGGGCTTGATGACATTCGCGGCCGCTTGTGACGGGAGCCTTGAGCATAATTTGGTTGGTGTATTTGAAAAGACACAGCAGTCATATTTTTTTGTGTCTTGCCTGGCTGACCTTTGCGGAAAATCTGTAGGGCAGGTCGTTTGTCGTGATACCTTTCGACGAGGCTACAGCTGTGGTTATGGGAGATGCCATTGGCAGCAGCACCGCTCAGGAGGAAGCACCGGCCAGAAGATAGTCCCCGTGAGCAAGGATGACCAAGAGCGAGGTTGATTTTGAGTTGCGGTTTTTGCGACTTTTCGGGCCTACGCAAAGGCTATCTTGCCGAGTTCCAAGGATATATCTCCTTGATCGGATACTGCTCCCGAGGTCGTCGTTTTGCCCTTACTGAGTGGCCTTCAGTAAGTAATCAAGACTGACAATGGATGGTTCGTTCTCTGTTTTGACTGTTGACAACTCCAAACACTTCTCATGCTCAGTTCACCTGTCAGACTGCGATCATGAGCCAGTAGGAACGTACAACGGAAGTCGCTTTAACGCTCCCCGGAGCCCGTCGGACTCTGCGTATCATGCGCCGCCCTTCCGACGTTTGAAATAACGGCGTCCGCGCGCTGCCCTCCGGATGGTTGGGCTGCATTCTCCACCGACGTTTGTCTCCCAATTCAGCCTCACGCCTGGGTCCTTGTCCTTTCCAGACAACCACGAACTCTGCATCATCCCAACGACAGCCGCTGGAGTCGGACAGCATCGTGGAGGCCCACATTCGCCCGAGGTCCGTTGATGGGAGATTTGTACCACACAGTGCTCGGAGTTGCCGTGTCATTCCCTCGCTTTTTTGTTTTTTTGACATGGACAAATCCGTCGGGTTTGGGGACCTGTCATACAGCCGTCAGAAACATTTAAGGTCTAGTCGACGTCGACATTTCCATCGTCCGGTGTTCTATCCCAAGACCCGTGAAGCCAGTCGACGAGCGGCAACGCGGATGATTCTGAACAGGCAAGGTTCAGCCAACCTCCAAGTCACCAGTCAGGCCCAAATTACACCGCAAATAGCAGCGAAGCTGGCTGAGAAGCTTCTTCAGAACTGCGCCAACAATCTTCTCATGAGTTGCCTTTCGGTTTTTCTGACACCGACGCAGGCGGCGACGACGTCTACTGCGGTACACTCTCGTAGCTCAGCCATTCATAGCCCTAGCATGGAGAGGGGATCTTGGGACAGCATCATTCGCATGCTTGCTGTACGCCACGTGGAACTTTCCGAACTCGTTCGTGGATTGGCCAACCGCGTGGTTTGAGTGGCAGCCAGCGTCGGGGCAGTGAAACTTCGAAGTGTTATTCGCACAAGTGGTTCAGATGAAACGGGCAGAAACAAGCTCTCTGGACAGACGGGCCCTCTGAAAGTGCGGCAATCAAGACCTCCCACGGCGTGATCGGGGGTTGCGCCTGGTCCGGGTGACGTTGCCCTCAGGCCCCACGACTCGGAGGTTCGGAAGTTGTGGAGGGAGGATGCTTGCTTGTCGACAATCATAACGTATCCGTACTCGTGAGGATGTGAACATGTGAAAGAATCGACGATATCGGAATATCGTACCCAGGGCGCCCGAGTAACGTGATCCAGGAGCAGAGCAAGTGTTTATCCAAATGCCTAGCGTGGATCTTATCGTGGACGATGGGCAGATTTCCCCAAGAGCATTAGCTTCTGGTCGTCGTCTGTGCAACCTGCAGCGGTGAGTGGGCGCTGGGCAGGGTCCTGGCTGATGCAATCGACAGCTTACCTAATAATCCGTGTTTGGTTGCCAACACTGGTGGTGTTTACATGTCAATCCCGTTGAGCGAGCGGCTCACTTATTGTCCGGTTCGATCACAGTGGAAATGTATCACATGAACAATGGATGGCCTGGCGAGATGGCACTGGTAGGGTCCATGATAGTGTCTCGGTTAGTGAGGAAGCGCAATTGGGAAAGGGCTGAGGGGGTTTGAGAAGGTTTCTGCACGGACCAGTTGCTAGCCCCAGCGGATCTGTACTTTCTACATTCGTCACTATCACTTGCAGGAGGGCAGGAACACCACGCCAGGCATTTGGGGACCAAAACTCGCGACGGCTTCATGTCATAGCTGCCAGATTGGCAGTACCACCGTCACAGCAGTATGTGATCGTGCTATTTACAGCACCTCTGAACGAGTGTCATATACTAGCCACTGGATGCCTGGAGGCTCCCTTGACAAGGACCCAAAAGAAAAAAAAAATCCCAAAAGTCTGAAGGTTTGTTGTTGTTGAAGGTTAAGCTGGTTGGTAACTGTCCGTACTCGTGGTCGCATAACTCGTTTCCATCTTTTCAGCATCCACGACCGCTGGTGGATTACCGAGGAAGAAGACCTCGTCAGCCTGTCAACCAGACTGCAGCCGGTCATGTCCGCCGCAAAGTCGTCGCAAATCGGGGTAGCCTAGTGCTCGCCCATGGTGGCAAACCGGCCAACAGCGAGACTGCCCAGGAAGACACCGCCGAGAACCGAGAGAAGATAGCCAACATTCATCGTCATGACAGCCAGCATACTATGTGCCCATTAGTACCACGTTTGAAATCGAGTGTGGGTGATGATTGCTCACAGCAGATATCCAACACCAGCGATGGCCGTGTCAATCAGTGCCCGGACGGGATCAACCGAGAATCTCCATGGTCGCCAAATACCGTGCTGCTTCTGAACGACGGTGACATTTTCTTCGACGCCATTCTCGGAGAGGACCATTTTCTGCGCCATGCTGTCCGATGACATCTTGTCGGCCATTCCCAGTCTGCCGTTCACACTGACGTATCGGCGCTTGAAATCCTTGTCCAACCACCGCTTCTCTTGAATGGACTTGAGGGCAACCATACTGCGCATGGCGAAAGCGAGGAAAATCAGGAAGATACAGGTGGCGGCGTAGGTTCCAACGCTGTTCGGAGTCCAGGTCTCAGTGTAGAGCGGGGTCCGGAGGTTGGTTTGGAAGATGGTCATCATCATCATGCTCATGCTTGAGCCGCTGCTGGTCGAGCCGTTCATGTTCATCGATCCGGATCCCATATCCATGCCGGGCATGGCATCGGAGGCGGTGGCCGTTCCCGTCGTCGTATGCTCATCTCCCCCATGCCTTGCCATAAGAGCGTCCATGGTGGCGGTTCGAACGTGCGAAGCGGTCGACGCTGTCGTGAAGGAAACAAAGCGCTTGATATTAGAGTGTGACGAGGGATAGAAATTCCAACCAGGCTCCAGTCCCGGCCGTGTATTTAGATATTAGATCTCGAAGCGACGTATGTGAAAGAGATCGACGTGATCTTCTTCGGACGGGGCGTGGAGGAGAAGAGTCAGGCGGCGAAGACGGTGATATAGATTGGCGGCGAGAAGGTTTGCGAGGGATCTTCAGACGCTTCAAGCAGGGAGGGTGTTACGAATGGGGACTCGCAAGGCGACGGCGAAACAAGAGCATGTTGTGCATTAACGCGAGGTGACTTGGCTCGTGCCAAGATGTTGGAGACGGGCAGATGTGACTTTTTGTCGTTCCTGCCGACCGGCCATGGAGCTTGGATGGTCCTAGGTGAGACGGACGGCTGGACGCAGATGGTCCTAAGATGCCGTTAGCAGCTCGCCGTAGCAATGATGCCGAGACGCAGATAAGGGGTCCCGTGAAGTAAGTCACTGGCCTCGTGGGACGACCCCCTGCCAAACTTGCGCAGATATGGAGTTTGCGACAGCGCCAAGGACGGATAGTAAGCGGAGGCCCCCGAGAAGCTCTTTCTGATTGGTCGATCTCGGTTTAGTGTTCGCCCCGCCCGGGGCAGAAGAAAGTACTGAAAGTACTGCTACCTGGCCCTGCTAACAATTTTTACCTCGAGTGACACGCGAACTCTAACGTCCGGCCACTCTGCGCTCAAACAACCTGCTCATCTGGGATGCCGACATCAGCCTTTTCTCTACTTTGCCTTACGCCGTAGTCTCTCGCTATCCACACAGACTTCGAACGAATGACGAGACGAAAAGATGCAGAGCTGCAGCTAATCACGATATACTGCACTTAGCTGCCCGACTACCCAAAAACACGATCAACAGACCCCATTATATGCGCCGTGGTATGCCTTATCCTCCGGCGGAAGACACCGTGGATGACTCGAACGCCTCTGAACTCCCAGAATAGAAAACTCCCCCGGGTTTCTGAACCATTTGGAGACACGAACATGGGCCGCCGAAGCAGATCAGTCCAGCCAAGCCCAGGCCTGACAGAACTCAAATACGCACCCTCGAACTTGAGATTGCGTGCGAGGTGGAATGAGCCCGCCGGCGGTCTGGTCAGTGAGCTTGGCAAAATCAAGGGGCCCTCGTTTGAGTCAATATCACGCTTATTCGACACAAGCTCAGGGTGCACTTGCGGCTGCTACCATGAGGCTCAGAGATGCAGCTAGACTGTCTCATGTGTCGTCACCAAAGCATGATGTTCAGGCCAGTCTGAGCATTCGTCCGAAATCAAGACAAAACCCAACCTATTCTCGGCCGGTCTCCCCTTTGGAAAACAATACTCATCCTGGCAGTCTGATCCAAACCCGCCAATCGCATCCGTTGGAACTCGGTCTTTGCTGGGATTGCCGTTCAGTTCTTCGTCCGAGAGACGTGATTGGCGATCTGCCTGCGCATCATTGCCCCGATACTTTGATACCGCCCCACTTCTCGCGTGTTACCATGATTCTGTTCCTATTGAACGTGGCGATGGCGCGAAGTTCGGGTTGAAAGTTCTTCGGCCGAATCAAGAACTTCACTTCATCTACCCAAAACAGCAATCAGCTACAGTTTCACGATGAACGGCCGTATCGAAGGACCACAAGACGGACAGATGATGAAAATATTCAATCACGAGTAGTCCATGTGTTTTCAGATGGTCAAACAACGGTGACCCGTCTTCAGTTCTCGGAAACGTCCTAGAAAACACCTACCCGTGTCTGACCCACCAGCGGCTTTTGAAGTTGTCGTCAGCAGCGGCTCCTCGGCGCAGCAAGAAACGAATCCACAATCTTGCCTCTGCGCCTTTGTTGCCAGCTTGGAGCTGATGCAAGCAGTATGGCATTCAGAAGGACTAATGTGGCTTGAGGTGGCACGAGTCTCAGCTAAAGTCGGAATCATCAGCTCCCATCTCAAACCACCAGCCTCATCCAAACTCTCTATTAGAGTTGCTTCTAGTTGAGTTCAATTGCGGGCGTATGCTTGTCCTGACGAGTCAAGACGTTTGGTTTGCTCAATCCAGACAAAACCTGCCAAACAAAAGACCCTCAAACTCAGACATAGAAAAAGAGCCGTGTACCCCCTATTCGTCATCGGCGGCTATAGTAACAATTGCTCCCAACATTTCCACGGCAACGAAGAGCCAGTTTGTGGAGGGTATGCAATACTCGATCGATTCCATGGCAGTTTGGCATTTCGCAGCCTGCCGACTCCGATGGCGATAAGCAGTATCTTCCTTCAAATCTTTCCATCAACGCAGGAAAGCTTTTCCCTGTCGAGTGAATTTCCACCTCTGAACCGCTCGGATACGGCGGTTCTTGAATCAGGCCGGCAAATGGACTGTGCTATTCGTGCTTATCCCGCCCCTGAGCCGGCCACCGGGTTTCCTGTGGGTTGCGATCGACGAACTCTCCGGATGAGCCATGCCGGAAAACAACCTATCCTGGCAACGATTCACAGTGCTTCGGGAATGCTTGAAGATGAATTGCCCGATGCCCGAGCCGCTACACTGCTGATTGAACGCATCCTTGGCTTGCTGGCTAGGATGGGACATGGAACCGTCAATGGTGTTGGAACACCTGACCAGTGGTCTTTGCCATGGGGCAGTGAATCGACTCGAACACCAAGATCGTATTGACTACCTAGATAGCGCATGTGCAGTCAACATCTCATTCGTTATGACTGCTGCCGAAAGGATTATTGTAATCCCAAAGCCCCATGCAGCTTCCCGTCAACCCGGCCATCCAGAACTCACCCGCTTTTGACGCCGGCGCAGCCTACAATAAAGTTCGGCGACGTCAAGTAAGTGGTTTTCCCGCTCCGGCCGTTGAATTCCTTTGGTTGGTACTCTTGGTGACCTGTCTCCGTCAGACATGGGGAATGATCTGCACCAAGCGTCCACAGAAATTGGGTGGGTTGGAGCCATGGTTGGTCACAGGCGGGGAACACAGGCTATCACATCCCCATCTGCATCCAACCCAAACCGCGGAGCCGGGATCAAGGGGCGGGTGAAGCAGGTTGCCGAGTCTATTTCGACGACTTGCAACGGATGCCCTGGCTTCTTTCCCGATGAATGCCCATTTGGTTCACGGCGAACGGCGTTCCGTTCTACCCAATAATTTTCTTACACTCTCGACCAGGATGAAGTCTTCATCTAGAAGGCTCAAGGTGTCGCTCTTCAGTATCGACGGATGCATTCGGTCGACATCAAGCAACCTCCAGTCACCATCCTTGAAGTGATCGACAAGTGCGATGCCGTTTTCCTTAGACAAGGAAGGAAATATCCGAATCTGAGGAGCTGTCCGCGAAGATGATATTGGGCACATGCCTGGCCCGGTGACCGTTGTCCTCGGCTGCATGTGCGAGACTTTGCTGCTTAGAACAGGCTCTTACAATTGCGCGAGCCTGCGCACTATTTTAAGTCAGTCGTTGTCAAACCGAACGACAAGTCAACGTACACAATTGCGCCCACCACTCATTGACATTACATGCTGTACTCTGTGCTAAAACGTTCTACCAAAGAGGTGAGGCCGATGATGGGTGGGAGGAAATGACTGGCTTACAGATAACACGAGCGGCAAAATTGACGCGGACGCCATCTTCCACAAATCATTCCCGTTCCAATCAACTAGGGTTTGGATTCTACTCGGGTATCAAATACTGTCCTCTGGTTGAACGAAAATGGGTCGTCCTAATTGAAGCAGGAAGCCGTACAGCATCAGCGGTGTCACTGAAATAAACACCACGCCGTTCATCTGACCAAAGAATAATCAAGAAGACGTCGCTCTGGAATTGAGCTTGTGCTTTTCGTCATTGAAGGAACTTGATCGCAAAGAGGACATACGGCCGGGGTCGACAAAGTCACCGTCAGCTTACTGCAGGCAATTGAGTACCATGACTTCGAACGATGCGATGGCCATTACGGTGGCTGTCTGGATTCGAATAGTGTTTGAAGACGAGACATAGAGCCGCAAAATGCTTCTTCCGCTCCCGTTTGCGCCCTCGTTTTGCGGGATCTCGCCGACGCGTGTGTCGTCCGAGGCGCCCAGATGCTCAAGGTTCAGCCAGTCAAATCTCCAAGAAACCCACCTCCGCTGACCAAAATTCACCGTGTTCGTTTGGTTCGGACGCAGAGGTGAGATTGGTGGGAAGGAACGCGGCGGAGCTGTAGCGCAGGATATCGATGGAATTCCCCAATCCCGCATCCGGACGTTCAGCCGCTGCCGCCGGAAGGTAGCCACTAGCCTTAAAGTGGAATATCGAGCAGCATGACGACTTATCTTCCCTCCGAGTGTGCTGATCTGTACGAGATACCTCGCCAGAGTGTGCTCCGCCTTGTCAGCGGCGGCACATTTGGCAATGCCCCTGCCGACAGCCGGCGGTCCTCCACCCCTTCATTCCTCCTCGTGGACACAGCGTTCACCCGGCTTCGGGAACCGCCTTTGGGGCGTACGGCATCGTGGACATGCCTTCAAAACGGCGTCTCTCAGGAACGACGTGGCGAGCAGGGCTTGTGCCATACCACGCCGACTCGAAGAAAGAGAAGAGGAAATGCGAAAGAACACCAGGAACGTCCGCCAAAACCGGCAGCCACGGCGCTGAAGGACGGCGTGGCATGCCTCTCCAAAACGGAGGAGTGAAGGAAGTGGTCACCGCCTCCGACTGCAATGCTTATTGCGACTGGGATAGGGAAAGGCATGCGTCCTGCTCGCCAAGGATACGCGCATATGCGACATCGCAAAGTCGACCGGCCGCTTGGGGGGAGAGGAAGCAAGGTCCTTCTGCCTGCCGTGTCTACCCACCCTACGATGTGCTCTGGGTAGTACAAAGGACGATCAGGAGTCGACGCGGTTAGCCCATGGTCGTCAAGTGATCCCCCACTCGCACCTTCAGAGTACGAAGTAGCACCACACCAACATGGGATGTGAGGGACCCGTTGGACACCAAGGGCTATAATGCCAATTCGTTCGGATGCAATCATGGAGACAAACTCTGAGAGCCCCCTCGTGCAAAAATGGCGTGGCTCCTTCTAGCTCGTCAACTAGCGATGCCACCAGCATGCCACCGAAACCCAGGTAAAGGGGGACAGGAGAGCGGAGGAGGGGAAGGCTAGAAGCCCCCTCGTCCTCCCGAGTGGGAGGCGCTGAGTGGGAGGCGAGAAAGAGTAGGATGGTTGTTCTTGGACTGGTCCCCTAAAGCGCCGCTATTCTTCTATTCCTCCGCGTGAGCATGTCTCAGCTCACCTCAGGTTTGGTTCAGCTTCCAGCCAGCCGTCTCGCCTCTTCAGCCACGCCCCTTCACCCTTCCTGCCCTACCAAAGGCATTTGGGACTGGCTTTGTTCACCCCGATACTCGGGCCATCTCCAGAATTGAACGCGTCCAGCTCGGATGCGATAACCCTTTTGGATCAACACTTGGTGAGGGATTTTAGCATTGGAACGGGAAAAAACAAACCGCAAAGTCACCTGTCAATGATCACTCGCTGCCGCATCTACGACGAAGCAAGGGGTTCACTAACACCGCATCACCTGTCGTAACAGTATGAGGAAAGTTAACTGCAGCCTGCATCAAAGGCGACTCACCAACCACATGCTTCTGCTGCCACCATCACCACCACCACACCTTAGCGGCTGGCTGTGATGGGCGTTTTTCTCAACGCGGGGAGGAGGCACCAGGTGAGCTGCGGTTCTTTTCAAACCTTCGACGCCTCGACGCCGAAGCTTGATGTATGGAGTACCAATATTGGTCGATAAGCTTCCAGATTCTCCAGTTCATCTGGACTTGCTGGACTTGCTGCTCCTGAGCTGCAGAAAGAAACAATCTCTCCCGGCCGGAATGGGCGAAGCTCCACGACCGCCGCGCATACTAATCTATCGAGTATCACAGAACGAGTAAAAATATGGGTTTTATTTTCGGTTATGGCAAAGGACATGCGCGGGGGAGAAGAAGATGATCTACTGCGCGCTTTGTCGGTAGACTTGCGCTTTCCGCGTCCCATCATCCGATCTTCCGACAAGCACTCAGAATCTAGGCTCTGCGTCTGCATGGTCCCGGCCCTCTCTAGCCTTGTATCTCCGGTTCTCTCTCTGCCTCCCACTCGCTCTCTGGCCCGCCCCTTTACCCGTTGGTGGTTGAATGGCAGAAAACGGAGAGGCGAAACCATGGCTGGACTAGAGATACCGCCCTCCAACTCGCTGCCCATGCAACCGTGCTCGTCGCCGCGCCCCCCAAATCTCATCTCATCTCGTCTATACGCCTCTTTTGTTTCTCTCCCTATGCCTCCGGTCCTGTCAGCACGCCCGCGCCGTCCTGACTTGGGGAGCTAAAAATGTCGTTCTTTTTTAGTCTGTGAAGCTAGATCAGATGAAAGGGGGGGCCCGGGCGCGGGGGGGAAGGGGGTGGGGCGTGAGGCTTCACGGTACACTGTACCCGCAAACCTTCCTCAACCTCACCTTGCCCGTTTGCTTGCTTGCTTCCGCTCTGCTGCTACTGCGCGTCACGATATAGCTCCATGGTTTAAGTCGTGGAGCAGTGATCTAGGAGATTTACGGCCACGTCAGGAAGGGGACCCGAGTGTCCTCCTGTCTGTGGTTTCTCGTCTCTGCCTGACACGACGAGGCTATCTCGACCGCGGACCACAGGTCATCGTGATGACCGTGTCTGCGAACCTGGGTTGCCGAATTCCCCCACGACCTTGTTCACCCATGACGCGCAGCTCGTACCAGTCAGTCATACGGATGCTGCCATTGCGTGATTGACTTTCACTTCCGGCAGCATGTCGGTCATGATATCTAGGGCAGAAGGGTTGTCTCGGGCCAGCTGATGGAAGAGGTTGGTCACGAACCGCATGTTTTGACATCATCGACCATGACTATCCACGACGCGCGGTCACTGGCCTACAGAGCTTGCGAGTTGCTGTCACGCGAAAGATGAGTCTAAGATATGTTCCTGAAGTTTAATCGATCAAGGTAAACAACCCCGGTTTTCAAAGTTTCTTTTGTACACAAATGACTTCTTATTCACCTGTCCAATTTTCTGAATAGATCCCCACAGCACTAGATGTCCCAGACAGCCTTCCCCACCCCGTATGGTACATTGTACTGGTATCTTTGAAGCAATAACAACAAGCTATGATTTCCAAACACCGTATAGCATTTCCGCCTGCTGCAATCTCCAAGGCCCTACCCTCTTGCGCCGAGTTCCGTGTCCGATCCCATTATTCCCCTTTATGATGGTATGTTGCGTGTGTCGCCCTTCCTGAGCACCCAAAGTAGATGTCGCAATCCGTTCCTTCGCCACCGATTCCGTTGCCCATTGTCGTGATTTCTGACCCAGAAAGTGAAGCCTTATAATAAGGTTTTGGTATCCCCGGTGAAACGACCCTTATAGCCTCACCCCGTATTATTAAACCCGAGAAATAGTAAAGTGTCGTATAGAAAAAGACCAATTCGATTTGATGGAATCGTGATCTTGCTTAATTTGTCGACCCATTTTCCGAACGCCATTGACGCCAACGTGATTCAGTTTCGTAACCAAGGCAGCCATTCCACCTTGGGTGTAGATGAACGTTGAAAGTGGCTTGCTTGAGAGGCACAACCTTGACAGCCACGTCCCTCGCGCGCCACCGGGATAGGCATCAGTTCATGCCTCGCGCTTGACCGAGGTGGGTGTCCCGGCATCGGAGTGATCTCCCGGCGAACGTCGGTTGTTGTCGGTTGAAGCATTCTCGCCATCCTTGTTTCCGCAGCCCTTGACGAGGCGGTGTCTCTACAATGTTCGTTAGCGATGTTTCTCAGTGTCAAAGATTGAAATATGAGAATGGGAAGCCATACCTTCAAGGCATCCTTCCTCGAAAAGCTCTTATCGCAAAAGTTGCAGGGGAAGGGCTTGACGGCCAGATGGATTCGCTTGTGTCTCTTCAGATCGTGGTTCCTGTTGAATGATTGTGGGCACTGGTCGCACTTGAAAGGGCGCTCCGTTTGGGCATTTGCTTGACTGCCGTGGCCGTGACCATACATCGAGGGACCCATGTGGTGCGGGTAACCAACGCCCATACCAGATACGAGAGACATTTGATGCCCTGGGGTGTTGAGGTTCGACATGATAGGCCCTCCCATTGGAGGAACGCCATAAGCGTATCGACCATATGGCTGAGGAGGTGCCATTCCGGAAGGGTGGGGCATAGAGGCCAACCCCCTTCCCGGTCCGGCAGAAGTCGTGGGAGACGGTGCGGTCGGGGATGTGTGCGATTGGAAGCCGGGGAATCCAGATTGCTGAGGAGCTGAGGATGCGTAGTAGGATGGTGCAATGGATGGTCGGGACTGCGCATATGAGTCAACATTCGAAGATAGAGCACCAGGCGTGGGAGGCTGCGTCGAAACTGGGGTCTGAGAACCGAGAATGGCTGTTTGCGCAGTTTGAGAGGCCTGGGAAGGCAAACTAACTGGAGTAGATCCTGCTTGGGAATAAGCCGCTTGGGAAAACTGGTGACCCTGGCCGTAGGAGGGGCCCGGCAGACCCTCTCCGCCGGTTGCTGGAGACTGAGAAGTGCGGGAGTATGGCAAGGGGGATTGCTGTTCGTAAGTGCTCGCTCGTGAGGAACCGTACGGCGATTGCTGGATGGCTTGCGGTGTCCCAGAGCTAAGCGCGTAGGAAGAGCTCTGAGGGGTCGGCCATGCTCCGTGCTGCGAATAGTAGTGTGAGCTTTGGGAGCTGGTGGTGTTGACACCAGAGGAGAGGGGGCTGAGCCCTTCGCCCGTCACTCCTGAAGGCGATGTTAGACCTGAGCTGGCGGTATTTGGAGAGTGGTGCGCGTTGGAGGCTGCGGAGGAAGAGGAGGGAGGAGCCGACGACGGATTCGTGCACGTCGCCGGCCATGGTGAAGGAGTGTGTGTAATCTGATTTGAGTAATTGAAATAGTTCCTCATACTAGGGATATCTTGGTTTGTCGATGGTAGCTGGAAAGGAGGCAAGGCTTGGGTCGCCTGTCGGCGAGCCGTAAAGCTCTGGGAGGTTTCCATCGCCATTTTGTAAAGAATGATCTCCTTTCTTTGAAAAAAACCGGGAAGGTCGACTGTCAACCTCTACGGAGAAGGTTTGTGGTCTCCGTGTGACCCGCTACCTTGAGCTGGGCGTTGCCTGATGGTGTAGCTTCGTCGAAAGGGTTGATCCTCCCGGAAAATGCTGATGGTCGAAAAAATGGGGCCGACGGCTGAAAAGAGTTGGCACTCAGGCGCAGGCACTGAGGAATGAAGGAGCGGGAGCGGTAACTCTTATGCTTCTTCTCGCTCCTGGCTGCTGACTTGTCGGTGTCGATTGACTTCAGTTACCCCGTGCCAAACACGATCGTGAGTCTGCTGCTGCCGACGTGTCCAGAGAAAGACCGGGGATTATTGCAGGTAGATGTATGTCCAAAGACGACTGAGTTTAAGGGTGTCCAAAACAAAGTTCAGAAGTACTTGGCGGAGTGGAGGAAACTAGATCGATGGTATGCAGGAGATGATGATGAGAAAGAGAAGATGTCCCTCAGGGTAAAGTATGTCTGCCAATGGAAAGATCGAAGGAGGCTTTGTGCAGGTTTTGAAAGCTATCCTGGTTGGGATGTCGAAAGGAGTTATCGTGCGTCGATCACCTTAGGGCGCCAGTCCAGTCCGTCCCTCCATCCACTGTGGAGGCGGCTGTCGAATATATGTAGCTTCGCAATGGTGCGGGACTTCGTCTTGGGGGCTAACCCAGGTTTTGTTAGGCCAAAAGCCAGCCAGGCTTTAGTCCGGGAGGGCTGAAGGGGGGCTTGAGAATGGGTAGTCGGACACCAAAAACTGAGAAGACCCTGGCGCCTCAGCTCCAAGTACCGGGGGTGTACTGTCTGACAATGGATGGGATAATGAGGAGGGTAGCTTCTGCCCTACGGAACGAAAAGAGTAGTATAGAACCTCGCGATTGGTTTCTTTGCTCCGCTGGCGGAGGCGACAGCGGGAGTTGTTGGAATGTCTGAGGTAGGTGAAGCGGGGAGAGGATGGAAGAGAGATGTGATCAAAAGTATGCTTTTCTCTCCCGTTCAGTGTCTCTCCAGCAATTCTGTCTCTGACTTTCCCTCTCTCTCTTCTCTGTTATGTGCCGTCCGGGCTTATAATTCATCGAGGTCCAGCGGGAAGAGGTACCAAGGTCTAGCACCACGCAGCTGGGTGGGTGAGAGTAAATCAAGTTCAGGTAGTTCTCAACACTCGAGATACCTACTGACCTCCGCACTGCTGGTACCTTACCTGGAAGACGGGCGACAGTGGCGTATTGAATGTCCCTTAGCTTGGGGCAGCAGAGTCTGGGCGTTACAGGTCGAAGACGGAATACAAGCAGGCTGCCGGGACGGTGGGTTTGAAGAAGGGGGTGGGCTTCTCAAAAAGTAGGCGCCAGTCTCTGGAGATTAAAGGTTAATATTTCATTGACGGACGAGGTAGTCAGCCTCTGTCTGGTGTGTGCTAAGTACACAACCAAAGGTAGGCATCAGGAGTGCGCGAGGCTCCTTGCCTTGGGGAAACACACGGACGAGGAGGGTGAGTACAAGGAGGGAGGGGAGGGGGTGAGGAGCGATTGGCAGCCAAAGAGACCTGGGCAAGGGGGGCTCAAGGGTGTGGATGCACAGTAAGAAGACGCATGTATCTGTGGATTGGCTCCAGTGATTGGGTTGGAAATGGAAGTGGAAGAGGGAGTGCGAGAGTGGATGGGAGTGAGGCAAGTGTCGTTTCTGCAGAGAGCAAAGGCCGTGTTCCAGCCAGGTCTGTCATCAGTCAGTAGCCATTGCTGAGGAAGAAAAGTAGGGGGGAGGGGCCAACCTGCCAGCCGGAAAAGAAACGATGAAAGAAGCAATAGGCGGCGTGTGCGAGTGAAAGAGAGAAGGATGGGGTGTCGTCTGAATGGTAGACACGGTAAGGAAGATGGGTAGGTAGTCGACGACGGGCCCTACTTGGAGTCTTAGACGGGAAATAGAGAGACAGGCAGTAGTAACATGCTGGAAAGAAAGAAAAAGGGACAGAAAAACGGACAGTCAAAAATGTCGAGGCCAGAACCCTGACCTCGAGACTGGCTGCAAGGCAGAGGTACTCTGTACAGAGGACGGATACCTGGCTTTGCTTTCTTGTTCAGGCGAGACTCCCCAAATCCCCCTCCATGCACCAACGCCAGCACCAGGCCGCCGGATTCCCATCTCCCTTGTCCCCTGAGTTTGACCTTTCCCAGTCGAGCAGCAAGACGCATGTGCTTGGCTGCTCGCCCGCTGGCATCTGGTTTGGGGTCTGGGTCAGGTCTTTGCCCACTCGTAGCGGGCCAGAAGAAGAATAGCGAGGTAGCTTTTTGCGGCGAAGCGACGTAATAAGCTACATGGTATCATGCTCGAAGCGTGTTTGTTGTGGTGCTCCAGTCAACCTTCTTTTTCTTTTCCCCGAACTGGCAGACTTTGGACGACGTCGAGTACGAGATTGGAATTGGCTTTTCGGAACGAATGAGCCAATGTAACAACGCCGCCAGCCTGATGATCGGGAGGGAAAATGACCGTGTGGGTAATATACCGGGAGACGAAGAGGGACGGCTATCCTGCGGGTGCACATATGGGCGGCTGCCTGTAAGTAAGGCAAGGCAGTGACCGAGCAGACCGGCTCGAGGTACCGTGCCCGCGAGTGCAAGCACGAGCGCTGGCAGGCAATGAGAAAGAGTCTTGTACCTCCATCTCGGGTTGGAGAGCTGGGATCCCATCAGCTAGGGCCAGCACAACCCCTGTCCCGGAACCTCAGCTTATTCGCACTTTGACCCGTATTATTGCTGGGCCCACCCTAGGCCATTGTCCTCGGGCGCGACCTCCTCATCCCAGAGACAGTGAAGTGATTGCTTGCGTAGGTAGTTGCCCACCGTCAGGTACAGAGGGCATCGTGCTGTGTGTGGGTGCTGACAGTCCTGTTCTTTGCTCTGCTCTGCTCTGCTCTGCTTTGCTGTGCTGGACTGGACTGGCACTGTCAATCATCTTGCCTTGGGCGGTGGGCTCTGTTGGGTTTGGGTGTGTGTCTCTAGGATCGACTACACGCACCCGGGGGTATCCCCGGGACAAGCGACATTGACGCTGCCTCCATGTTCTGGGTTAGGCCCTGCAGCTGCTCAACCCTTTACCACAGACCCGAGGTCACTATCTGGGTCCAACACGCAGTCTGGTCTGCTGCGGTGTTGCTCTCCCGTTATCCCATCTCATCTCATCACATCCCACCTCCTGAAGCGATGTGATGCTGGCGGGTGCTAACTGGATGGCCAACGTCATTGCGGTGTCTAATGCTGCCGTACAGTGTGCAGCCTGCCTCAACCATCTGGGTACAGATGATAGGCCAACGGGGGGAGGCTCTACCAAGAGCAGATACCGTCACAGACTCCTTTGTGTTTTTGGGCACGAAAATCGGCGTGTGGCCGTCCACTCGTCGTGATGGGGAAAGCAATAGCTGACAGAAGCCAGGTCCTGCTTGGCATGGGAGCGTCTCGCCACATCTTAGATGACACCTGGGCTCGTGCATAGCCATGAGCTCGAGCGGATACCGGGGAATGACGGCGCTGGGACGCGGTATGAAGACCAGTGCTGAAGACCGCCCGTGCGATCAAGGGCCAAAAAGGATCATCGTTTGGGAGGTTGCATTCAAGAAGCGAGACCTGATGCGCTTTTGGATTTTCGTCATATCTAGCGTTCCTGGAGTTTCAGCGCGACGAAGTGCAGTGGCTGTTTTGTATCCCACGCAGAAGGTAGTTACGGATACCAGGGGCGGAATCCGGCCAGGTAGGTTTGCCCGTGGGTGAAAGAGAGTGATGGGAATGGGAACGGGCACGCGCCAGCGGTTCCCTTCGCAGTGTCGTACCCAGGTATTATCAGACGAGGCCTTCCTTTCTTGTTGGCTTGAGAGGATTGATTGATGCTTGTTTCCTCGGCAGATCGGGGCACATGATACCGTTGGATGATGTCCCGCTTGACCCGGCGGCACATCTTAATCACCCGTTTGGCGTCCGT